TCTGGCGGAATACGCATGCTCCGGAGAAACGAGACAGTTGACAAACGTTTGGCAACATTGTTAAATTTTAGTTGCAATGGAGCGTTTTACAGGGCCGCAACGTGCTTTTTGTGTTCGCGAGTTCTATAAAAACAAGGATTCTTATGTGCTTGTACGTCGTTTGTACAGAAATCATTATAACATAGCAAGAATGAGAGATGTCCCAAGCGCAAATTTAATTGAATATTGGGTAAGAAAGTTCGAGAGCACTGGAAACACGTGTATTAGTAAACCGCCTGGACGGCCAAGGTCAGCAAGATCGAACGAAAATATTGAATGTGTGCGCCAGTCCGTTAACGAAGATCCCCGGCAATCATTAAGACTGCGTGGAGCGTCTCTAACTTTGCATAAGTCAACTGTTCATCGCATTATTCGCAAGGATTTGCATTTTCACCCATACAAGATTGTTGTTACACAACAATTAAAACCACAAGATCCCGCTAATCGATTAGAGTTCTGTAGAACAATGAGAGAGCATTTTAACGGTTACAACAACATATGGTTTTCTGATGAATCGAATTTTCACATTAACGGGCATGTTAATAAACAAAACTTTTTTCTTATGGGGATACCTGAAGAGTAAGGTATACACCCCACCGCCACAAGATTTGAGAGAGTTGAAGCAAAAAATAACAGATGAAATAAACGCCATTCCTCGAGCAATGCTTCGGAGAGTGATCGAAAACTTCAGTTCGAGATTAAGACAGTGTGAAAACATGAACGGTGCTCATTTATCCGATACTCTTTTCCATAAATAAAATTAATGTTTAGGCTTTCGTTTGGTAATAAATTTATCTTTGTAAAAATATTCTAAGTATTTTTATTTATGGCATAAAATAAGAAAATATTTATGAGACACCCTTTATTTTCTCGACATAAAGTAAATTACTAATTAAACTGTGTAACACAGGTACATGGTTTGCTATTTTCAAGCAAATTAGTAATTATATTATTTTCAATTAAACTGGTTCCAGAAAATCCAGTTTGATTAAACCGAACAATTTAGTTACTTAGAATAACTAAACAGTTAAGACGGGTAATGGAAATTTTCCAGAAGACCAACTTCTAGGTATTTTTCGCGGTGGTCAACTCATGGTTTGGATGTCAAACAGGAAATTCGTTATGCCCGAGCTTCCGCTGCTAAATGCGTCAAAAACGTTAATCTTCTTTTGCAGAAACCAACAGTTTGGGCCAATAGACGCACCACCGGCGAGCGACAAATCAGGTGGACAAATAAACTCAACGTCACTCAGCTGGGGCGAATATTTAGGCTTCTACCCCCGCACAGAAACTGTGACCAAGATCAATCTACACACTACGGTTGTCCAGGATCCCAGGATTATGGTTACTTTTGCTGTGAAGGGGTGTAAGCCTTTGAAGATACCAGGAGACCTGAACAGGTATAATAAATATTCAAAATAATACCTTCATTCTTAGTCATTAGCATTGTGACCTTAGAATGCTGAAAGGGGCACACCCATTGAGTACAAGGAAAGCAAAATTCTTCCGCTGGTTTCCGTTAGACTTCATTAAGTAACATCGCGGCTGCTATGAGGATCCCAAAGAAATGTTGTTAATCCTATTTTTGAACTGCCTAAGGGTAGTAGAACTGCGAAAACCGCCTCTTGTAGATTGTTCCACAATCTCGACACCCTAGGGACATCGGAGTGGTCCAATCGGTCAGTTTTGGATGTACGAAGTTCGACACGGCTAGGATGGGAGGCCCAAGTCAGGCGGGTCTATCTGACAGGCACATCGCGCGACAATTGTTTAAACGGATGCAAAAATGTGTATTTATTAAGAAAATAACTTTCAGAAATCCTCGAAATTCAGTGTACTTTCCGGTATAGACGGGAAAAAGAGTTTCCCATAATAATTCTTATTTCTGCCTGACTATTTGGGATGAAATGTTAAGATAAATCACACAGGCACGTTGACACTACAAGGTAGAGTAATTAAGTTTTTAATCCGACGTTTCGTCTCTGGCCCTCTGCCATCAACTTCATTTTGTCTTGTGGACGCCATCTGGTCCATGTAAAATCTTCGCATCTGATGGCAAAATATTCTGATTCGGATTTTTTGCATAATCTCAACCAAAAAGGGTGAATCTGCATAACGCTAGGCCCAAATTTGTGACAAAAAATGTTCAGCATTCCAAACATGTTTTTTGTGCTCCGGTCAGTGTTTTTAGTTCTTTTCATTACATTTTGAAGAAAAAAGGTGCATCATATTTTTTTTTTAAATTTATACTTGTTGAGAATAAGCGATACAATAATTATATGGCATTATCGACCCCATAAAACAGTATGAAAAAAAAGAAAATGTTAACCGTACTCAAATCGTCAGTGCACCATAATGCCACAGTTACACACACAAATGCTGTCATTCTTTAAAGGGTTTTCGAAAACGAAGTAGCATTATCGACTATGACCCACAGAAAATTTCACCAAGTCGGTGCAGCTGTTCCAGAGATTACGAAAATAAAGTAACGCCTATACACAGCCAGGTAGACAGACATACAGAATTTACGTGGTGTAGACAAAGCAAAACATAAAAAGACTTGTTTCGTATTCTAAAATGCTTGCGGCCACGGTAACTCCCTCCCTTAGTATGAAGGGAAGTAAAAAAACAAGAAACACGTAAATTTATTATTTACTCATCCTGGAGCGTTAACTATTGTAAAAAATAATACTGCCAGTGTATAACTACTTATTCATATTATTCAATGCAAGCATTTTAAATCTGTACCTCTATATGGGGCCTCTTAGGGGCAAGCTGATTCACTTCTTGTCTTATTTCAGATGTGCAGATGAAGGTATGACGCCTCTACCCATCCAAGAAATTCTCCCGACGTCAACTGTGGCTCTGACCTATACAAAGACAGCCCTTCCCATTGACAATAACCTGAGTAATCACCGTCTTGAACCCGAGTTGTATACGAATAAAAATGTGAATGAAATTGACGAGAATGTTGGATACATTGAAAGTTCGACAGTTATCAGAGAGAATTTAGAAGCCTCCAAAGCTACGCAGCCGTTACCATTCCCTTAAGTATATGACGATAGAGAGTGAAACAGCCACCTGATGCGAACCTTGAGAATATGAGAGGACGAACTCGAACGCAAAAATATCAAATGTCACTTGTTAATGTTTTTTATAAAACCTGACAGGATGACATTTTTTCTTTTAGACTAGAATTAACGATAACCGTGGTATTTGAAAATTTTTTGAAAAATGTAGCATGGATATAAAGCCATTCTGAAAAATAAAGAATCTTCCACTGTTCAACTAAGCTTATATGTATCTCAAGACAAGCCAGTGTAGAGCGACAATAATAGATTTCCACCACATTGAGTCAGCCATTGATTGGAAAGAATAAGCTGTTAGAGCGCATGCGTCTAATCAACATTTCTCTTCCTCTTGGCGACTGCTAAACGCGTTTAAGTAATGTAAGCTGCCGCGATGCGTATAATTTCTTCAGTCATTCTTGCCTGATCTTGTAGTCCTTTTAATGAGAAATTCTAACCAGATATATGTCTACGCATTGGAGAAAATATTGCCAAGATATAGTCGAGATGTAGCTGATATATTCGAGATGTATACAGTGTGTCCAAGATAAGGATCCTATGCAAGGGCATCTCAATACCTGCGGGAGATACAGCTTAGGTTAAATTAGGAAAAAGCTGCTCTCCTTGGAGCGTATTTGTACCATGCCGTTGAGAAACAAATCGTTTTTATTTTTTTTACTTTATTTTAAGAAATATCAAAAAACTCGTGGAACTTTTTCATTGGCACTTCATGTTGGTATTTTTAAATTTTGTGCCCGACGTATTTTAGAAACAGTCAACTTTATTTTTTATAGGGTTTGAAAAAAGTACACCCTGTGCCTGGTAGCATCTTTTTCTACGAATTCAACGATGTATCACATGTTACATTTGTTTTCTTAGTTATAAAGAAAAATGTGTTTTTTTTATTTTATTTAAGTAGTGGTTGCAAACAAATGCTTGATGTAAAATTATGTAATTTTATAAAATGATCCTTAATCTAGTGATTTTAAGAATAACGACTAAATTTTTAGCATTATTTTTATTTTATTCACAATTGGTGTTCAAATAGGCTACCATTATTTTCTAAACATAAAAATGATCTTCTATCAGTAGAATTCAGAACATCACGTAACAGTTGTGGTGTAATCATACTAACATAAATTTTCTGCTCATTGACGTACCCGTTCAGTTGAAAATGTGCCTCATAAGAGAAAATGATTTTCTTCGAGAAAACCGCATCAATTTGGTGGTGCTCCAGCGCCCAATCAACGAATTCACGACGCTGCTCATCGTTCGTTAGCTTGATTTCTTGTGTCAGTTGAACCTTGTACGCATGCAAGCACAAATCTTTTGTCAAAATTCGTTGCAGAGTGGGTCTGGTAAGATTCAATTTTTGACCATGATGCCGAATGGAAGTGCCTGGATTCTCGGCCACACTTTCCCGCACTATATTTTCGAGGGACCGATTAGGACGGCGACGAACAGTGGTCTTCACGTTCACCAACGTGAATTTTGTCTCAAATTTTGTAATTAAACGGCGAACTGTAGACTCATTTGGCGCATTATTGCGACCGAAAATTGTACGTAATTTGCAAACTGTTTCCGCGTAATTTTCTCCATTTTTGTAGCGAGTTTTCACAGTAATTAAACGTTACTCATTTGAATACTGCTCCATGACGTCTAATCGCGTGGTCTGGACATGACAGCTGACATCAAATAAGCACCATACCATTTGTACAGAAAAAAATCGCGGCAAATTCAAATCCGGCGCTCTTGTTGAGACAACCTTTACATAGGAATATTACTGATCAATTACAATGGTAGTGTTTGTGCTGTAGGTCCAGTAATCATAACTTGGTTTCAGATACTTTGTCAGTGTGCAATAAGGGATAGAAATGTGTAATAAAAAATGATATCGAGTACTTATTTATCAAAAAATGTATTCACTTAGATAAGACATATCATGACTGTTATTTACGGACAATACCAATATTACTTGGTAATATATGACTAAACTAATTTGAAAGAACAAACCATAGAGCCTTACATGTTGCGCTTCGTTTGACTCTCGTGCCAAGCCTTCGCTATAGTTCTTTTCATTTCATCATCTCCAGACTCATACCTGTAGAAAGGAATAATAATTAAATGATGGTTTCATGCAGGACACGTTTTACATGCATTATGTTTTCATTTCACTTTCATGATATTATCATTTCACAATGACTTTGCGCACGACTAAACGACAAACAAAACTTTATTATAATATAGATCTTCAAGCAACAGAACAGTTTATGGACACTGCCATTTCTACATTTACACGAATAGTTTACCGTTAACCGATCCTTATCGTTAGTTAGATAATGGTTATGTCAGGACACTGTTGTCTAAATCGACAAGAAGCTCTTGGGTCTGGCAGAAGAGGCCATAATATGCCGTTTCTGCAGAGAGCATGAGAAAACTTAAGTGCATCTCCTATGTCAGTGTGAAGGCCTGGGAGGACTACGGTTTCAGATAGCTTCAGGAAGCTACATGCAAGGTCCTGTGTCAAGGCTATGGAGTCACAAAAGATCCATTTAGCTCGCAGTGACGTTAAGGCTAGCAACCCTTTCTTCTGTAATCTATTTAAGTGATCCAGTGATGTCTCGACAAACACTATGAACGCAGCAAGTCTCTAGAAGTAACGACTTTTCATTCAGTAGTGGTTAAACATTCATTGAATGAACACATTCTTTGCAAAAAATGAAATATCAAGCTGTATCTACAATGTTTTGTGTCTTTTTATTGGGGTTGGGAATTTCCAGGTAGCAGAATATCTCATCCATAGGCAGAGAAATTCTAAAAATGGTATGAGCTTAATGCAAAAAAGTGCTAAACAAAAAAGGTTGACTTTGCACTTCCTATCACAAAGGATTATGTTGGGGACAAGTTGGCCCCTTTGAGAAACAGTTAGCTATGAACATGTATAACAAAAAACTAAATGGATCAAGTTAGTCAATCAGGCTCATCCAATTAAAATTTGAATGTTTAGTATGCTTTTCCCCTCCCTCCTCATTATTTTTTGACGGCGTACCGCTTTCTTTCTAAGTTATCCTTTGTCGATGGATGACTCTCCCATTCCCCTGACAAACATTTCTGCGAGCGCACATGCTTCAAACTATGTATACATCTGGCGTGGATGTCGCTCGACCGACTGCTAGACACTTGCATCGGCATGACCGCGAAGCATGTATAATCGGTCGGAAATATGTCTCCATCATTCCAAGTATTAAAGATAAATGTACGGGAAATCTATGATGAGTGAAATATGTTTACCGTATCTGGAAGCGGATAAGCATACCAACGTCAAAAACTGAGACATAACCTAAATCTCCTCCCCTACAACACCTCGTCCAGCAATATTTTTACCCCTAATTTTTGTTCAGACAGACGGAGATGAGTGACAAGATTTTTCGTGATCTTATTAAATAACATAAAAAAACGTGATCCTAATAGCTCGTTTTTGAAATTTTCTGCGATTCCTTGCCCAGTAGCGTAGGGAGTAAATTGGTCCCCACCATATCATATGATAGTTGTGTCAGAATAGTCCATAAAAGACTGCTCAGAACTGAGTGCATCTTAGCTAAGGGTGGTAAATCTCAAAGAAAGTGATTGATGACATTCTACTACAACAGGTATCTAATGGGCATAAAACTTGCTTCTGAAGTCATTGCTAAGGTGGACAGTTTGGAAGCAGAATTACAAAGACTGGAAAGGAATGATCTCTAGCAACAGAAATGTTCTTGAAGAAACAACAGAAGGAATTCAAGAAACCCAATTAAAGGCTGGTAACATAAATGGCCCTTAACTTTCCGGGGGATGCTGACAATCATGCTGTCAAGAAGTTGGATGATTAACATGAAAAGAATTGTTCTTTTCTTGTTATATAAAATTAGTATTTGTTTTGTCATATCACACTTAAGGGCTATTTGTTATCCCCTGGAACGTACGTTGTGTCTCATTTGATAAATTAATGATGTTACTCGGGTTTTTATGTAATTTTATACATTTGTTGTTGTTTTTTCTAATCCATTGTTCAACATGTATCTATATCATGTTAAATTTTAATTGTTGAAATTTCTAAATGCATATAACAGCTTCTCAATATGTAGCCCTGAAAATAGGGAAAATAAACGGCAAACAGTTTCCAACTTGAAAAAGGTCACTTCTCAACACCTATACAGGGTGATTCACTAGTCGTGACTAAAAATGAAACATCATACACAGGACCGCATTTTATGGGGGATCATCGTCTATGTAATATTTTTTGCCTCGAGAGCTTCATTAAAAAGATACGGGGTGTTGAAGTTTAAAAATAAGAAAGGAATTTTTTTAATATCTTCAAAACCGTCAACTGGAATAAGGTAAAATTTGGAATGTAGATTTACCTAATTATTGTACACATTCAAAAGTCTTTACGTAAAATTAACGTGCACAGGGGATTAGTGGCATTATTTTTCCAAACAAAAATAGTACGCTAATTTTTTTTTCAAACGCACACTTTTTCAAAGTTTACCTTCAATTTGTTACAAATAATTACTCTTGTGTTTTTTTTCTAGAGTGCATTGTTTTCGTAAAAATTAAAAAACAAATTAGATACTCAAAGCTTTCAATAAATGTTCAAATTACCACCATTCTGGCGGATACAAGTGCGACATCTTTTCAATAAAGAAAAACGGATTACCGGCTTTTTCTTGTAACTGATCAACAGTATTATGTAATTTGTTCATCATACACTAATTGCTGAAAAGCACCCCACAAAAAGAAATCCAGAGGGGACCTCGCAGGCCAACGTACGAGTCCGTTTCTGCTAATCCATCGTTGTCTAAAATGATTATTTATCCATGCGGTTATGTCACGACGAACATGTGGTGGGGCACCGTCGTGCTGATACCACATTCGTACTCTCGTTGCTAATGGTACATCAACTAACACATTTTCTATGTAATTCTATAGAAAAGCTAACTATAAGTTTGCATTTAAATGTTGTGGCGATACCTGCATAAACAGTTGACTACTGAAAATGCCGTACCGACCGATTTCTATAAAATCTGTGTTGAAGCGAGTGGATTCTTACAGAAAGGGGATTTTCTAACTACCAAATATGTTCATTATGAGAATTCGTTCCACTCCTCGTACAAAGCAATTCATCTGACCACAAAACCAAATCAATAAGATCTGCATTTCGATTATGCATTTGCAGTAACCACTCATAAAAATTTCGCCTTGCACTCCGTCGGGTTGCAGACATTGCACATTTTGCCGATGGTAATGATGTAAAACTTCCCAATTTAAAATTCTCTACGCAACAGATTTGGAACATGGTAACTAGGCTGCAATCCGCCTCGTACTTGTACTAAAATCATCCAACGCCAAATTAATCACTTCCAGTTCCTCTTGAGCAGTATGCCGGACAACATGGCCTCTAATTCCGGGAAGTTTGGCAATTCCATATTGCCGAAGTCTTAGAAATGAACGAGTAAAAACCTTTGTGGTAGGTTGGCGTCTGTTAGGAAATCTACGTTGATACTCCCGAGAAACCGCTAAAGCATTTCCATTACAGAACCCGTACACACAAAAAATATCGGCGTACTCATCATTACTAAATTCCATCTCACAACACTCAAAAATTGAAAAAAGAAACTTTTGAGTTAACTTTACAAAAAAAAAATGTAGTAACGATAACAACCGCATAACACATAACTTTGACAAACTATCTCCCAAGAAACGTCAAGTTGGTATCAAGGCCTCCTATTTTATTTTGAAACTAATTGCATCTCGGCCCTTCATGGATGATCTAATTTGTTTTATTTTTACGAAAACAGTGCACAGTAGGAAACAACACACGAGTAATTATTTGTAGCAAATTGAAGGTAAAATTAGAAAAATAATGCCACTAATCCCCTGTATCTCCGCCACTGGTGTACGTTAATTTTAAGTACAGACTTTTGAATATGGACACTACGAGTACTTGGGTAAATCCACATACCAAATTTTAGTTAATTCCAGTTGACGTTTTTGAAGATATTGAATTTTTTTTTATTTTTAAACTTCAACACCTCGTATCTTTTTAATGAAGCCCTCGAGGAAAAAATGTTACACAGAAGACCCTCCTTAAAATGCAGTCCTGTGTATTTTTTGCCACGAACTTGTGAATCACCCTGTATATGGTATCTCAAGAATACGACGAAGTCAAAAGTACATATCACACACTAGGATATGAACTTATTTCTTTTGTATCATTAAGGAGTTGGATTTACTGAAGGTAAAAGGAGTAATTAAAGACGTGGGACAGAATGAAAAGCGGATGATAGGAAAAAATGTTGCCCACGTTGGTACAGTATCCATTAAAGATCGTTCCGACATGTCAAATAGCACACTACCATAAAAAACTGATCAGATGATACGAATGTGATATTTTCCTTTTTTTTATACCAAAGCAGCCGCGTACGCGCGGTGCCTAAATATCAGGGCACTGCGGTTCCTCTGAGGATCATGAACCATACGATTTTTGGAACGGTCTAAGGTTAGTAGAACTGGGAAAAGCCTGCTAAGGTAGGTTGTTCCACAATCTCGATATCCTAGGGAGAAAGAAGCGGTTGTATCTGTATGTACGAAGTTCGACATGTCTAGGATGGGTGGCTGAAGTCCCGCTGGTCTATCTGGCACGCACATCGCGCAGCGGCATCATGGAGGAGAGCTCTGAGGAGCAAAACCAGTTGACATAGCAGTAAAAGAGAGTTTGATTTGACGACGGCCCTTCGGTGCAAAAGCGTCTCGGGACTAGTCTAGCTTTTCCTCAGCAGCTGTCGCTTTTGACTAGATGTGTTGGTGAAATATCAAGTCCTCGGGTATCTGGACTCCACCCAGCCGAAATGCTACTGGTACTGTACTGTGTGTTGGAAGCACTAAACTGTACCAGATTGTAGCGTCCTCAAGCAGTGATAACCTCCAGGTCTCTCGTTATAGAGCAAGTCCTCTTTTCTTCAGCTTGCTGGCAGGGACCATGCATGTGGAATGCTGTCAGCAGCAAAGCTGTGGATCGTATTGGTCCTACAGGAAAGGAGCATGCAAATTTGAACATTATGTGTTGTTTTTTTTTATACTCCAACTACCACGGAGGCCTAAACACCCATTGGGTACCGTGGGGATTTAGGGGGATACCGGGGAAAGGGGGAACGCCACACGGACTCTGGCGAGGGAACACGTGTGCATGCAACATGCACACATTCTGGCTCCGCCTACGAGATCCGCCGGATGGTACCTCCGCGTTCGACAGTCAGAGACCATCTACCACCTACGGACAATCACAACATCCATAGTCAAGAGAAAAGTTTCTCCTGGGACGGGATTCGAACCCGCACAGCGCACGGCGACTGATCAGGAGACCGAAGAGTCTACTACTGTGGCCACCGCTGCTGCCTGATGGTGTTTTTGATAGGGGGTAAATGAGATTTGAATATAGTATAGGAAGAATCCATTGGGATTTTGTCTGAGAATGTGAGCAAAGCCCACGACAAGTACCACTAAAAAATAATATAATATGAAAGTCAACTTACATATTTTTCATTAAACTCATCAGTCCTTCTTCAGGGTCTGCATTGTCAGAGCCGCCCAGTTTAGGTTTCTTCAATTCACTTGATTTCTTCTCATATTCTGTAACATGGGACCAGTTCCCTTCAGATGCCTTTGCCAATGTTATAATGACCATATCTAGAATATAGGAAGGTAAGAATATTGGAATATTTTTCTTACTATACAGTGTGAATATAAAAGGTTGGTTTTAAATGATGAATTTCAGGTTGGAAAAGCAAAAAATACTGCAAAGAGTTGTACAGGTTCAAGTCCGATATTTTTTTTGATTACCCTCTCCATGCAAATAAGACGTTTCTCCGGTTTTAGTTACAGAACTTTGATAAGAAAATTGGGACTATCTGATCAAATCTGTATGTAAGGAAACCATGCATGGTTATGACACTTTGGAATAAGTGGATCCCAAAATGTTGGTTCTAAGAATGTCGTGATAAAGTGATGATTGATAAAATGTGCATACCTTTCTTCACTTTCCATGCGCTTTGTTGAGTATCTATTGGACTTAACAGGTTGTTAATTCGTAAGACATGGTCTTTGTTATCCAAATCCAATACTCGTAATTCTAGGTTTCTTGGCCCAAAGTTACATTTAACATTCTCTGAAGCGACAGTGTTGACATCTTTAAGAGTGACATATATCTTTAGAGCTTTGACTGTCTGATCCCAAGCTAAAAAGTAAAAGCCTAATTAAAACAAATTTCAGTTTTTATAAGCTAAATATCATTCACTGAAGATTCAAGGTACAAAAATATCTCTAGACATCTGTATTCATAGATATAAAAATATAGAAAATAAGCATAATGGTAAATCACATAAATGATGAAATTCTAGATATAATTAATGACGACGATGGTTCTTTGAGTAAAATAATGGACAGTACAGATAAACCTTCTTGTCACAGAATGCACATTCATTGGCTGTAACTATGATTCATGTTAATATAAGAAGTATCAATAGAAATTTCGATAATTTTCTGGTTAACATAGGCTCAATGAGGAAGTAACAGATTACAGTCCTACAGTGCTTTGTATATCTAATAAAGCACGACATTCTGCTCTATTGATGGATTTTTTTAAAACTAATAATGTATTATCAGGTAATCAATACGGGTTTCTTGAGGGTAACAGTGCAGTGGATGCTATGCAGCAATTAATAACTGAGATTGTCAATAATCTGAATAATGGCAACGAGAGAATTGCTGTTTTTTGGACCTTGCTAAGGCTTTCGACACGGTTCACGATAAGCTAATCGACATTGTTCACAGCAATGGTATTAGGGGAGTGGCTTATGATTTACTGAGGGATTATCTTATAATTCATATAAATACGATGCTAAAGCTGGACACGGGGGGTTTAACTATTTCTTATGCTGACGATACTGTATTTCTTTTTTTGCAGGTTCTAGTTAGAAGGATGTAAGTGGAGAACAGTGTATGGTCTATGTATGGTAAAAGACTGATTACAAGAGAGTAAGCTAACATTAAAAAATTTAATAACAGTTTATCAAGCATTTGTTGAATCTATAATTAGATATGGGATATTAGTATTGAGGGAATGTATAAACATGCTCTACATAAACTCATTATTATTCAGAAATATATTAATTTAAATTATTTTTAAGAAAGATATCAGATTCCCCACTAATAAACTTTTTACAAAGGATGCATGTAGTATTAGAACCTTGTACATGATGACAGTAAATAGGATTTTCTTTTCATTTGTAAGCACGGACGATGAAAGCACATACAGGTGGTTTGAACCATGTAGGTGTAGGTGCATCTTTCTTTCATTTTGATGACTTTGATAAAGAGGAATTACATTGTTGGGTTATATATTTATGTTTATTTATATTTTTTTGTATATAATCTTTATTATATATTAAATAAATAAATAAAAGGAACATTCACAACCTGGCAAGACCTATGACATCTAGAATTGCTACATAACAAAAAGTTGTAAAGATGCAACTTTGGTATGCCAGTTACTTCAATTTTTTTCACACCAAAGCAGCTGCACCGCTAGAAGCCTACATGCCAGGATATGGCAGCTTTTACGAGTAGCTTAAATAAACTTAATTCGATTTTTGAATGGGGAAAAGGGAAAAGCCTCCTCTTGTAGATTGTTCCACAATCTCGAGACCTCGGCTACAAAGGAATTGTCATATCGGACAGTTCTGGATGTATAAGGTTCAGGATGGGAGGCGAATATGTCTGGCAGCCAGATCGCGCGGCGGCATCAGAACTTGAGAGAGAACTTGAGGAGCCAAGCCCATTGGCCTAGCGGTAGGAGCGAGAATGCCGACGACCCGCTGGTCCCAAGACTGTCTGTTAGAGAAGAGTCATCGATCAGATGGACACCCCTCCTCTGAACAGCATCAAGCATAGATGACGTAGTTGGGGTAGCACCTCGCAGTACTCACTATCAGGACCTTGTATATAGTGAGGAGGTCAAGTAGCGAAAAATACTTCTTAGCCCAGACAAATAGCTCAGTTTTTTTCTTGCAGCTGCTGCTATTGACAAGATGTGTTTGTGTAAGGTCAAGTCACTGGTGATCTATACTCCAGTCAGCCAAAATGAATGGCCTTTTGATAGAACTCTGCCATCCATCAAAAGTGGATGAACACTAGGATGCTTTTTGTTAGTCAAGATACAGTACAGTTTTGGAAGCACTAACCTATACAAGATTGAAGTTTATATATAATATAGTCAAAGTCACGAAAGATGACTGTTACGTACTGAAGTAATCAGTGGACGTATGTCGATGATAAAAGCACAATGTCAGGAACATAATGACAACAAATTTATATTATGATTTTGCGAAGTTAGGTTATTTCACTGATTATTTTTATTTTCATTTTATTTCATGGTTTTGAGTGATACCATAATAATAATTTTAGTGGGGAGTTATTATTTTGAAAAACAGTTATGAGTAGAATACCTTGAGACAGGAACACCAAAGACCAAAGTATTATTCCAAAACAACCTAACCTGCTTTAACATAACCTAACTATTCATCTCTCAAATATGATCGATCATACCACATGAAAACATCATCTGTCTTTCGGATACAAGCAAATTAGCAATACAGCTTGTTTAGACAATAAGATTATGTTTGTCTCTGTCTAACATAACTGAAACTTCATTAAAAATATTCACAAATCACTGTCGTTTGTCTTTAATACAGACTAAAATGATGATATAATCGTCATCTTTCGTGATTTCGACTTTATATGAATGGTAAAGTATTATAAGTAATTATTGTTAGATCACTGTTAAATGTTTCATACACAATACCACAGTAGCAAATAACTTTTATTCAAATTGTTTTGCAGATATGAAACTTCAACAGGAAAAATATACATGACTATATTAGAATAAAATAGATAATAAGTTATAAAATAAGTAGTAAAAAAGTATGCTTGAATGATGTATAAATAATTAAATAGAAGAATATAAAAAGTATGCGGTATAAATGTATAATAAGTAAAATAATAAAACAAAAAAAAATATGCAATGCAGATGTACTGATATTTGTGCCAATAAACAATATACTTACCATAATTGCTGAGTTTGACTTCATACCTCTGTGAAGACCTTGGACAGGCAGATTTATTGATAAGGGAATTTGAATATTCTGTTGAATTCCCATGCAATTGCAATAATTCTGCAGCCAATTTACGACATTCTATATTTAAGAGTTCCTTAACTTTTGGTCTTGATGCCAGTTTCTCTAACGAGTCCAATTCTGCAATGTCTTTTTTTATCTAGAATGTAAAATCACCATAAGTGTTTTGCACTACCACAAACACTAATGGTGTATTGGACCTCAAAAGTAACAATTATACTAAGTAGCCATAATAATAATGTAGATATTTTGCAGACATCCATGTTGAATGGAAAAGTGAAAATACCTAGACTTTTACCTTTTCTTTTGATACCAAAAGGTCTAGTAAAAATTCTATTTCGTCTTAACACGCAATAGGAAGGTTCTCAAAATCGAAATACTAACCTCTTCGATCTTGTCAGTCATGTTACTGAATTCAAACTGTTTTTCTTTTATTCGCCTTTTTAAATGGGCTTTCAGCAGAATTCAGGCTTTGGCCCAATTAATGCCTAAAAGATATTTTTCCCCGCCAAGATCCTAAACTAAAATCCACCACTTCAAAACAGCAAAGCACATCTCAAGCCAGGGGAGTGAAATGTCTTATGGGCGAATTGGCAACACCAAGGTCATCCTCTCCAGGCAAAATCGAGGTAACTGTATTACCGGCATCACGTGACATGCTGCTTGCCGGGATTCAGGGTTGCCGGGCGTGGCGATTTTTCGCCACAGTGGCGATTTGACCGCTTCAAATCGATAGCTTGGCGATTGGCTACTTCAATGGCGCCCAGTATCCAGCAAACTGGTGATTTTTAACATTTCTGACGCTAATTAATTTGTAATCAATTTTTGCTGATATGTGTATTTTGTTTTTATGTGTATATTTGTCTGACGGCATGAGTTCAATGTGTACGAGAGAGAAGCGAGAGGGCCAGCCCCCCCAAAAGATCACTGGGGAAAGGTAAATACGCAGAAAATTATCATCTCCTAGCTCTTCAATTTTCAATAGTCGGTAACCCTCCTTCCCGTTGACAAGAGAACATTCGCCAGAAGTCCCGCCACCTCAAAATGTCCCTCTGGATCCGTCTCCTGTGAATGAACTTACAGTTTCGTTAATATTATACGTGTCTAACAAGCCCCCATCATCACCGCCCACTTTTCAATGGATTCCTGGAGTATTATTATACCTAACCCCCCTCAACTTCGCTCTTCAATTATCATCAACAGGCAAGCTACTTAGGCGCTTAGGTCTGTCACTACTCCACCTCCCCGGGCGACAAATACATTCCAATCTCTAACCTGGAGATTTATGGTTAGACTCCGAGTTAATTTTGACTTTAAGGATTGGCGATTTTCTCATCAAAACTTGGCGACCAACATGACTGAAAACCTGGCAACCCTAACGGGATTCTATCTTCATCTGAATGGTGGCTAAAGCTCAAATGAGGTTAGGTTCTAGAATGACATCTAGAGTCACAAGCTTGAATGTGCTAGAAGGAAGCATAAAACATCGAACACTCAGATCACGACAATAGTGAGGATGAGTAAAAGGTCTTAGTGCACATATGCAACAAACAATCAATTTTTTGAGCATTAGAGAATTGTCATTTTCACAATTCCGCAACCGATAGAAAAAATACATATATTACTCGTGGCTTGACACTTTTCTCACTCTAGAACTACAAAGCGGAAAAAACGCCTACAATGGGATGCCTGGTTCTATGTTGCCAAAAAGCTAGATGCCATTATAATAACTAGGATAAAAAATATGTTTGCATTTTTTTATAAATTCTCTTTTGAAATCTTATGTGGCTATACGTATTTCTCAAGCGACAAAGTAGTATTTTGGGCTATAGCCTGCAATAATTATTTATCGAATACCTAATTTGTCTGTACTATGAAAAAAAGTGCGCAAGCGTAGTTGTCATTAAAGGGCGTTTGCCGTGCTTAAACACATTTCGGGTGTTGCCGCTAGTATTTTCGTTGTATGACGTCATGTTGCCTTCTGAATTTTAATGGTGTTTTGTATATGCGGGTGTTACGGGTGTCGTGTACCAGTGAAATAATAATTTTAATGTATAAAATTCCAATTTTTTTCATGAAAAACTGTTGATACGTGAAACGGACGTTTCATCACCGTCTGAGGTGAGTACGTGAGGTGCTTATTATCTGTACAATTCATCTAAAACAATTGACACAAAAATGGCTGACCATAGGCAAGTAAAGGAGCAAGGTGTATCCCTGATATCCCAGACTGAAAGCAATGGATATTTTACAATTTATAGCTTTATTCAGTGACCTTTATTTCATATTTGATACTTTACCTTGAGGCAATATCAGAACAATAACGTACAATTTGGCCATTGATTAGGCATTGAATGTATGTCAAATTCTTCATACATATTTGGCAAAGTTTGAAATTAATAGGTATTTCTAATCTATTTCTATGCAGAAAGCTTATATATTTGTGCACCTTACTCCATTTACCACTGTTGCTTTTCTAAAGTTAATACAACATTCATAAAAAGGTGATTTAAGGCCCGTTTATGGAGATATACACTCCCTATGTCCAAATATAGGAGTTATAAGCTTATATAAACTCTATTAATTTTATCGGTAGAATATAAAAGATGACCTAATTAATATTATGATTATCCACTTGCAAGGGTGTTCCTTGCAAAGCTCTTTGACAAATAAGAAATCCTCAGAAAATTGATGCTTAAAAAAGATCTTTCAGTTCAAGGATGGCTTGATAATAAAAGGTGACATAATATGATGTAATACATAATTTAAATGGAGTGCTTTAATTGAAATGTAAATATGTTCAAGTCCCACTGCTGTTTGTTATATATTGTGAAGTGTGAATTTGCAGTTTCTGCAGCTTAGAAGGGGACAGGAGACACTTTTTCTTTAAATGCAAAAAAGCTTAAAACTTCCAACACAGTCTTGTGTTCATTGTATACTGTGTGTCTAAGAATTAGTTTTCTTTTAGTGTTTTTTACATTATTCACATTTCACATGTTTGTAAAGTTATGCTATTCATTATAGTTTAACTTAGATCGTAGTATGTTCTTCTTTTATAACTATTTAATAATCGACTTTGTTAAATTCAAAACCAACTAAGTGATGTAATTTCTATATTAATTTTTCTTTTTTGCTGAAAACACTTCCTTAAGGGTAGATGCATGCAAGTCAATACATTCCAACCTTCAAATAATACTGCAAAATAAATATTCATTACAAAACCTTTATACTCCTTGACAGCAGGTACTTGAATGGGTCATTTAAGAAACAGTAATGTAACCCCAGTAATGATTCCACAGATGCAGCTGTGCATCAGCCCACTTCTAACATTCACTTTGCACATTTCTTACGCTTCTCTTTCATACACATAAACAATTTACTGAGTTCTCCTCATTTGCATGGCTGAGTACTTTGAATATGGTTAATTTTTTAAACAGCTGTTTGTATGGATAGTATAAAAGTTGAATCACCTGCTCAACATCTACCTGCAAAGTAAGTCAATTATTTTCTTGAAAAAATACATTTTGCGTCTTGGTATACAAACATCTTATGAAACTGGTAGCCTTTTATTGAAGAAGGTTGAACAAATGAGTCTATGTACTTTTTCACAATGGCCAACTCATGGTTTAGATGTAAAATGGAAAATTCGATTTTCCCAGCGTGTACCTTTTGCCTGGGTTCCTATGTACCTTAAAAATATTATTCCATGCAAAATTAAAACATGCGACATGTTAATAAGTCAGTAATTATGTGTAATTTCAAGGATAAGCAATAAAAAATATCATTATTATGATTTTTTTGCTAAAGTAATAGCTTTTAATCTCCTAACCTGGATATTTCAAAAACTGCATTCTGGCAAAAAAGGGTTTTGAACAAAATTAATGGGGTTTCTATAGGGCAACATGATGGTGACCATTACAATGACCTTGACTACAACCTGTACAAGTGAATATTTCCAAATGGAACTCCACCAAATTTCACATCTGAGCATCACTTTAGCCATGACCTTGACATTTGCCTCCATGGTTGTTTCAAGGTCAAATCAAAACAGCAAAAACAATTTGCTATAGCAAAATGTTCGACAGCACAGTTGTGAGGTTTGTGGGGATCACCAAAAGGTGACCTTAACTTTTATACTAGAAAATTTACGTTTGAATGTGACCTTGACCTCAAAGAACATTGAAGCTTGACATGACCTAGACTTTCAGATCACAGGTCAGTCGTATTCGGACGTAAAATTTCCTGCTTTTTCCATTTTCATTATAAAAGAGGTTCCTTTGGAAATTTTGACTTGACCTTGAAGGTCGTGGTCAAGCTCACCTTTTATCCTTACAATTATGCAGTCAAACATTTTTGCTAAAGCAAATTGGTTTCAACGCCTGGATTAGAGCTTGAAATGACCTTGAAGACAACTGTCAAGGTCATACCCAGGATCATGTTCGGTCGTAAAATGTGCTCCACTTTTCAATTGTGATATGAAAAAGGGGGGACTCCCATTTGAAAATATTGACGTTGTAATGACCGTGAAGGTCGTAGTCATGGTCATTGTCAAGGTCACCACCATTTTGCCTCATTGACACCCTACAACATTTGAAACCTTTTTCTAGAAAAAGCAGTTTTCAAAATATTTAGGTGGCAATTAACTAACCCTATTTCTTCGACATTTCAATCTTTTAAAACTTAACAGTTACCATATTAAGCTCAAAAATGTTGACTCAGACTGGTTCGTTTTTTAAAATTTATATCTTTTAATAACATTTATCAAGGCTTATATCAGATTGTACAGATGGATAGATGCCTAGCAGGTTGAATTCAATACACATGAATAAATGGTTACAATAAGTTGCACCTAGCTGCTACAAGCAACTGCTGTGTAAAGTATGGCTTGGCTCAGTTGCTGAATATTGCTCAACTGATTCTGCTGACAACTTTATCTGACAGTTTTTTTATACATAATTACAAAACCGTTTACTTTAAAGAATTTTTCTAAACGTTCATAGAAAAGAGATAGGGGGGGTCAGTTTATAATGAGACACTCTGTACATCATGTTTATATATATATATATATATATATATATATATATATATATATCAGACGTCTCAATTGTGTGAGTGGCCAAGATGTTTTGTTCTGCTTAAACCACAACAGTTTACATCTATCAGGTGCTTTGCAGTATCTCATCAGGTGATCAGGTATACAGAAGGCTGTATTACCTGTAGGAGAAAATTCCAGTCATTGCGCCCAACCAAAGAAGCACAGTGAATGTGTTGGTTTTGGGATAATAAGTCAATGAGTATTATATTACTACTAATATGAGCGTTCAACCTAAGCCTGCTGATGAGTGTGGATAGAGAAGAGTATGGACATTTATAAATGAACTAATAAATGCTAAAAATAATTGGTCATAGTGGTACGTTTCCTTATTTAGTAATAGTCCAGGCTATTTGGTGTTGATTATTATTATTATGAATTACAATTCTAAACAAATATCACATCTTTGTTTTTGTTTTGATAAAATGAAACACATCTGAAGCTGAATAGTTCTTTGACAGTTCCATATAGAAACTGAATAAATAATAAAGCTACAGAGTTAGCTTGAAATATTACTGATAGAGGATTCCATTGTTCCTCGCGTCAATCGGGGAAGTGCTTTAATCGCGAAATAATTTGAATTTGAGATAAATCTTGTTCCAGTAACTCTATTCTTCTCAGTAATCCTGGAAATACCAATTTTTATAAAATGTCATCAGAGCTTGAATGAATGAATCTTAAAATTAGAGGCATTCCAGCCACCACGTCTCCATTTTCCTCCTACCTTTATGCGCGCTCACTCCTAGAGCTGGCTCAGGACCAACGAGCTTGCTGGATGATCCTGTCTTCGCCAGAGTGTCCGCCGTCTTATTGCCCCTTATCCCAGCGTGTCCCGGTACCCATATTAACACGTTCAGTGCGAACAGCGTCAAAAGACGCCCTCCGCTCCTGTGGTGGGAGGCGAACGGCGTCTTTCGACGCTCTCTGTCGGCCTGCAAAAAAGTATTTCAGTTTCTGAGGTGGGTATCCTCATCCCAGTTCGCAGTCAATGTGTTAACGATACCGGATGCTTCGCTGCGAGGCAATCCAGAGCCTCCCTGCATTGCAATACAAGACTCGAAGTAATCTTACAGGCACTTAGTGCTTGCATTGCAGCCTGGCTGTCGGATAAGATTGTTATTCTTCTCCTAGGCCCACCCCCCTCCAGAATGTGAGATACACAAGCCAGAATCGCAAAGATTTCCGCCTGGAAAATAGTGGTGTATCCACCGAGAGGCAGAGATAGCCTAGTTCTAGGCCCAGAGACCGCAGCACCTGAGCCGTCTTCGGTGACCGAGCCGTCCGTGTACCTGCCCGTTCACTCCGGAGAGTCCCCTGCTACCGGCGTCCCACTCCTCCCTCGTAGAAGGACGGGGTCCTCCCTTTGCAATTCGACTACTCTCGCTTCACCGCGGATCACCAGATCCAACGGTGGGAGATCCCAAAGCAAAGCGCCCTGCATAATCTCCGAGACTGTTCTACAAAAACGCCCCCTAACTAATATGCTCACGTCATCAGGCTTGCACGTAGACACCCATACTGCTGAGCCTCACGAGGAGTTCGTTCACCACGATACATCACAGTAGGGGTGACAGAACTCCCTGAGGGCAGCCTCTAGCTACGCTCACGCTGCAGCTTACGTCATTCAGCATAGCTGTTGCTACCCGACCCTCCAGAGTAGATAGGACCCAATCTATTAGGACCGATCCAAACCCGTGTCTAACCAAGGCATGTCTGATAGAGTCGGTTGTGGTGCAATTAAATGCACCTTCAATGTCCAAAAAGGCCACGAGTGAAACTTCTCGCTGATCTAGAGTCTTCTCCAGCCTACCGACCAGATTGTGTAAGGCTAGATCAGTTGATTTTCCAGCTTGGTATGCAAACTGATTTGCATGAATGACATACCTTTCCAGCGGGCCATCCCTTAAGTATCTATCAACTATCCTTTCCAGTGTCTTAAGCACAAAAGGTGAAAGAGTAATCGGACGAAAATCCTTCGGGCCAGTATATCCAGCTCTGCCCGGTTTAGGAATGAATACCACTTTAGCCTGCCGCCAGCTTCTAGGTGTGAAGCCCGTGGCCACACATGCTCGAAACACATTCAACAGGTGAGGAACAACCGAACTCCGTCCCTGCTGTAACATGGCCGGAAATACGCCGTCCAGACCTGGACTTTTGTATGGAGCAAACGAATCTACTGCCCATACCGTCCTTTCGAAGGTGACAATCTCCCTAGCCGTGCGCCAGTCCTCCCCTGAGGGCCTGCGCAACTGCATGCACTCTGTGATTGATCGCGCTACTATGGAACCGGGAAAGCGCGTATCCATCAGAAGCCTCAGAGAACCTTCCTCAGAAGTAGTATTCCCCCCGAGGGATCAATCAGAGATCCCAATCTTGCTTAAATGTCTTTGCATAGGACCCTGTGTATTCTCGCAGTAGCAGGAATGTCGTTTATGGACTGACAGAAGTACCTCCAGGATTCTCTCTTTCAAATCTCCTTTTTGTACTCCTGCAATGCCTTTTTGTAGTCTTCCCATAGAGGAGAACGTCTCCTGTGCTCAACTCTGCTAAGAAGTTTGTGCACCGCTAGTTTTCTATCCTCTAATTATTTGGTCCAGAAGGTTGCCTTGCCCTTACCTTGAACTTTGCGTAACGGGCAGTTTTCCGCATATGAAGCCGTCAAGTCCCTGCTCAGAGACTCGACAGCTGCTTCTATGTCAGAGCCCTTACAAAGTCTGTATGGAACCGCTACAAGCTTACTGCCAATGTCTGCCCTAAAGGACCCCCATCTAGTATGCCTAGGATTCCGAGCATATTTATCCGGAATCTCTCCATCAGTCTTAAACAGTATATTTAGTTATCCGATAGAGAGGGTAATCAGAGCTTAGTATTACATTTAGGATGGAAGTTCTCAGTTTACAATGCAGTGGTAGTAAGAAGAAGAAATAGGAGAAAAAGAAACGTTTAAATTTAGGAAATCATACACATTACTTCCCACAATCCCTGTTTTATAATAACATCCTCTAGCTTACTGATGCTGGCGGTTAAAGTTGCATATTGATGCTTCCAATCATGTGACGTTCATTACCACAGAGAAAAGTACCAATGCAAAAGCATATTGCATGTATTAGTATTTGTCAAAATAACGTCAATAGTTCATAAAATTTAAAATCTACAGAATTACATTTTCACAAAATTCGTAAAAACTACAACCGATGTAGATTCACTGTTGTTTCTGTACCAATTGAGTTACGATACAGGACCATTAGAGACTTGAAGCCAACCTCTAAGGTTGAAAAACCTGGTTCGAGGGGTTGACACGGTTCCAGAACTGCAGAAGGGTCTAGTTCTAGGAATATGTAAATCCAATTCTCCACCGCAATTGATAAAATGCACGTTAATATCACCGATGGACTTGACCTTTTCAAAAAATACATCGTTTATCGAAGAAACTGAACACTTCATAGAAAATCTAATTGAATTCTACGAATATGCGCAAAATTATCGATCATTTCATCGTAATTAGTGTGACTGTGATACTTTTTTGGATGCTGTCCCCGTAGCCGCTAAAGCTGTCCACCATCCATCTACTGGTAACTCATATAATAAACCAGCTTCAGCGATAAGATATACCTATCGTTAATACATCCACGTGCCTGATACAGGCAACACACATCACAGTATCCATGACACGGAATTAAACATCCGAGGTGGAGATTCGAACCCACGATCCCCGAGTTGCTAGATCGACGCGCTAACCAACCACCGAGCTACCGAGGCTCCCTTAATCGTTGTATTTAAATAAGACTCTGTAGCTTTATTATTTATTCAGTTTCTATATGGAACTGTCAAAGAACTATTCAGCTTCAGATGTGTTTCATTTTATCAAAACAAAAACAAGGATGTGATATTGATCTAACTGACAACATCGTAGATAACTTAGACAGACATATTAATACCATATTAGTGATGATTGATTTCTCAAAAGCCTTTGGTACAGTTAATCACAAAATCATGTTGAGCAAGCTGAAGTACATTGGACTATCTGATATTCCGCTAAGATTTTTCCAGAGCTACTAGGCTGAAAGAAAACGGGTAGTTAAAACGGTTAGAGGCGTCTCTTCTAGTACTGTGGTTTCGTCTGGCGTTCCGCAGGGCGTCAGTTCTGGGACTTCTGCTATATTTAATTTACGTTATATGTACATTATAGACTTAGACTCATGTGTGGAATTTTGTTCTATACAAACGTATGCTGATGACACACCATTATCATTTCACTTCAAATATGCTCAGTTAAATGAAGTCGTTTAAAATTAATACTGACCTAATCAATATTACGGATTTATCTGAAAAGCACTGTCATCAATCCTGAAACGAGTTCAAGTTTATCTTGGGCTCTAACTTGAAGTTAGATAGACACATCGGTTACCTGTCTTAAAAAACGTATGCCAAATTAAAATTTTTATACTCCAACCGGTTAATTTTAAACTTTAAGACTAGGAAAAAATTAGTTGAAAGCTTGATCCTGTCATCTTTGCAACATTCTCTGGTTTTATTCTATTCTTATTTGGATTCGTCGGATCGGTATAGGTTACCAAAGGTTCAAATCAGCTGCTGCAGGTTTGTGTTTGGACTTCGTAAATATAGTCAAGTCTCTTCAAAGATTAAAGATTTAAATTGGTTAAAGAAAGTAGTTCGCACAAAAAAGCCACCGTACATTTTAGAAAAGATAGTACCAAGAGGTAACATTAATCAGAGAAATCTCAGACACAACCTAAATTTTGTGAGACCAGTCCACTACATAGCCCTTTTTCAGAAAAGCTTCATATTTCATGCCGTCAAGCTATACAACTCTGCAGATAAAATGTGTCGCAGTAAAACAATAGTACCTTGCAGGAGACTCGTTAAAAAACAGCTGATGGGATATTAATAGTTCAAGTGTGCATTTGTTAATTTTTTTTTCCTTTTCTGTTACATATTACAATGTTGGCTCGTGTGTGCGTGTTTTCAACACGTTATCTATTCAATTCATTTACTTACATTTCTTTTTCTTCTTATTATTACTATTGTTTGTTTGTGTATCGAGTATAACTATGTTACTCTTTCGCACAAAGTTTAAGTGTAAGAGTAGCCATGTGGCTATTCTTCGCCACACTGACGTATGTGTATTAATAAAGACATTTATTATTATTATTATATTTGCTTACCATTGTAATTCATAATGATAATAATCAACACCAACTAGCCTGGACTATTACTAAATAAGGAAACGTACCACTATGACCAATTATGTTTAGCATTTATTAGTTCATTTATAAATGTCCATACTCTTCTCTACCCACACTCATCAGCAGGCTTAGGTTGAACGCTCATATTAGTAGTATAATACTCATTGACTTATTATCCCAAAACCAACACATTCACTGTGCTTCTTTGGTTGGGCGCAATGAATGGAATTTTCTCCTACAGGTAATACAGCCTTCTGTATACCTGATGAGATACTGCAAAGCACCTGATAGATGTAAACTGTTGTGGTTTAAGCAGAACAAAACATCTTGGCCACTCACACAATTAAGACGTCTGATATATATATATATATAAACGTGATGTACAGAGTGTCTCATTATAAACTGACCCCCTCTATCTCTTTTCTATGAACGTTTAGAAAAATTCTTTAAAGTATATCGTTTTTGTAATTATGTATAAAAAAGCTGTCAGAGAAAGTTGTCAGCAGAATCAGTTGATAGTGAGCAATATTCAGCAACTGAGCTAAGCCATACTTTACGCAGCACTTGCTTGTAGCAGCTAGGTGCAACTTATTGTAACCATTTATTCATGTTCATGGTTCCAGAACTGCAGAAGGGTCTAGTTCTAGGAATATGTAAATCCAATACTCCACCGCAATTGATGAAATGCACGTTAATATCATCGATGGACTTGACCTTTTCAAAAAATACATCGTTTATCGAAGAAACTGAACACTTCATAGACAATCTAATTGAATCCTACGAATATGCGCAAAATTATCGATCATTTCATCGTAATTAGTGTGACTGTGATACTTTTTTGGATGCTGTCCATAAGAGTTCCGACTTCCACAGTGGATCGATTGTTAAAAACATTGAAGATGACGTTGCACTTGTCGATTATGGTCAATCAAAATTCATGTAAACTGTATTATTTATAAATTTTAACAGAGATTACAGCTGCTTCTAAAATGTTTGTTCACAGAGGTGACTATTTGATCCTGCACAAACCTGAAAAAAAATTGAGTGTCCCATTCCTTCACCAATGTTGGATGACTGCACTGTTTAGCTGAAGGTTTAATCTTTGTATTCAGGCGCAGCCTAGCAGGCCACCTTTGACCATTTTTGTCGACCCCGTAGCCGTTAAAGCTGTCCACTAGCCATCTACTGGTAACTTATATAATAAACCAGCTTCAGCGATAAGATAATACCTATCGTTAATACATCCACGTGCCTGATACAGGCAACATACATCACAGTATCCATGGCACGGAATTAAACATCCGAGGTGGAGATTCGAACCCACGATCCCCGAGTTGCTAGATCGACGCGCTAACCATCGAGCTACCGAGGCTATTTTTTGGAAATTCGGACAGTTTGGATCATGACGCGGCTTATCTAACAAAAAATGTAGGTCAAAAATGTCGACTTATACCTCTCGAATCTAAGGCTTTAAATTTACTACTCAAAGTTCCGTTCCATAAGTTTTACATCAACTTCCTATCATGTTAATATTGATTCGCAAATGTGCTTGTACGAGTAGTATTACAGATTGAAGAAACAAATTGTTCCAAAAATGGAATGTCAAAATATTTTTACAATTTTTTTTACTCGGCTTAAAAAAATGAGTATTCGGATGCATCATCTAACGATGATGTTATTTGTAAATATGAGTGTTGAGTTTTCATCTAGATGAAGTAACGTAGATAGGAACTTGCATGATACTTTTAGTTTGGTAAAATGAATTAAAACTAAATCATAAACTAATTTGAGTAAATATACACAGGAATTTAATGCATTTTTGAATATTTTTCTTATCAAGAAACTAAGGATGACCATCCTGCCTACTGAGACTATGAAGCTATTCCGTCCCTATTTTACCACCCTGTATGGGGGCCAAAAATGATCGTAGAATCGTTTTTTTTTTTCAGGGGGTGGGGCAATTAGTCATTGTCAGAAGAAAACTTTTTGTATGTTAAAAAATGGCGTCAAGTAATTTTGACTCTTCACTTCCCACGCAACGTCGTCATCATAGAGGATCGTGCTCAGCACCATCTGAGAAAAACGTCTGTCACGAACATGTATAATAGAGAAATTGTCAGTCAAACAGGCCAACACAATTAGTCCATGAACATTCTTTCCCTGCTCCAGCGGTAGCTCGTGTGGCAACATTTGTCCGATACCTGACGGCACAACGCATCAGACGGGTCAATAAGGCCAGAACAGTTACCGACTATCTGTCTTGCTATCACTACGTAGAATGACACTATCCGTCACTCCGCCTAAGAAAAAAATGAAATTTGTAGTAATGGGAACTAAAAGATCATCACAGCATGTAGATATATATATATAATTTGAAAAGTATACGTCTTAGATTTGTTTTTATATTTTCCTGATAACTATTATGACTTGACGTCGGCTTCTGGGACACTCTGTACGTACAAGTAAGTAATCTGAGTCACAATTCAATTTTATATTGAAGATTGATAACAAATTGGACACCGATGTCAAGTAAGTTGTCACTCTGACAAATACGATTGAAGGGCACTCATACGTAACGACAAAGTTTTCGAGACGGCGACATACAACTTAAAAACGTATGACGTTTAGCTTACCGAACAAACGTTCACACACAGGAGTAGGTTGCATGTGTATGTATGAGGGAGATGGTTATATATATATATATATATATATATATATACAGGGTGACTTTGAAGTTGAGTCATTAATTTCCAGATAATGATTGTAGAAGGAAGATAAACCAAAATATGTGTGTAAAAATAAAAAAAAATTAAAAAAAAAATGTTACCTTGTTTTATAAAGTATCCTCCCGACAAGTATTTCAGTGCGGACCTGTATTTGATCGTGCGGTCTTGGAGCACCGGCATGACCTCCCCTGTGAGGTCTTAAGTCACCTGATTCACGAGCCCTTTGTACTACATTAACAAAGGCACGAGGGGTTGGTTGCACTTGATTGGGAAACCGATCCGCATAAATCCGTGATGCCGCCTAAATAAGAATCATGTCCACAAGTTCAGCATTTTCGTAAACATGTGCCATTTTTGATTTCGTTTGAGCCACGCAACAGACACCACTATTCACTCACGCGTTACCGACTAACACTGACTGTATACAACTGAATAAAATAATTGTAAAAACATCGTTCCAAATTCTTTCGCTTTTTTGTTTCCGATGCGATGAACCGATAAGGCGGATTATATCCGTTGTTGCCAAACACGAGCACTTTATATACTTTATTATATATTATTATTATATTTATTATACTTTATAATGTAATTCCCAATAATAACATCAATTCCAGCAGTACAAGCACCAACCCGGACTCCAGACCTGGTTTTGCTGTCCTGCCCTATATCAAGGAACTGACCCCTAAGCTGATCAGATTGTGCAGTCCTTTGAACTTTCGAATTGCTTGCAAATCCGTCCTCACTACAAACCGCATTTTTTCTAAAATGAAAGACAAAGTCCCGCTGCTTGGCTTAACCAACACAGTCTACTCCATCAATTGCAACAACTGCAACCAAATATACATAGGTCAGACCTCCAGATCTCTTAAAGGAAGGATTACATCACACAAAAGTGATGCTAGGCTTCATCCTGAAAGATGCGCTCTAGCATCTCATGTTAACACAACAGGGCATTCTATGAATTACACAAGTATCAAAGTTCTTGATAAAGAAAAACACCTTTCCAAACGTTTATTCCTGGAAATGTCCCACATCTTCATGAATAACAACTGTATCAACAAAAAGACAGATGTTAAACAACTGAGTGTCATTTACTCATATTTGCTAAACTGCGAAAAATTGGAGAACTTACATATCTCCCCAAATTTCGACTCTTCACAACCATAATTAGAATCTGTGTTTTGGCCGATTCCACCAGTAAATTTCATTCCACTCAAAATATAATAATTCTCTTCTCACGATTTATTAATAATTGTTAATTTAAATTCCCATTAATTAAAATATAGTTTATTCAACTGCCTCTGGTCGGTTTAACAAATTCTTACATAAAATTCTGAAAATCACATCATCTGAAGTGATTTGGCAACGTTTGGCACACGCCCACAATTCGTTAAAACTTTCAACACAGACATTGACATCCTTCGGCCTTCTGTCAAAAGGGTGTCATCTCACTCATTATTCCATGACCACTAATTTGTGCAATCATCAAGTGGCTTCACGATGTAATGCTCTAATGTTTTTTAAATAATTTTTAATCTGTTTTTAACTTGTTCTTGTACCATATTTTATATAATTTTGACCATTGTACAATCTATCCAGCTCTCACCATGTTACTGGACGTTTCCCTCATCCTATACGTAAACAACAATTAGCAACATCCTCACATACTACTGTAAGTTGAGTCAATTTAAATTCATTTTACACTTTTGTTGCTACTGTTATCATTGTAATTGCAGCTCCTGATGATGATGGCAAAGTCCATTGAAAGCTAGAGAGAATTAAAAAAAGTATAAAGAGTCCTCTTTGCTTAAATTTTGTCGAAGTACCCAACAAAAGGCGGAAGCTTTAATTTTTCACCTATATATATATATATATACAGGGTGACTTTGAAGTTGAGTCATTAATTTTCAGATAATGATTGTACGTATAGAAGGAAGATAAACCAAAATATGTGTGTAAAAATTTAAAAAAAATGTTACCTTGTTGTATAAAATATCCTCCCGACAAGTATTTCAGTGCGGACCTGTATTTGATCGTGCGGTCTTGGATCACCGGCATACCCTCCCGTGTGAGGACTTGAGTCACCTGATTCACGAGCCCTTTGTACTACATTAACAAAGGCAGTAGGGGTTGGTTGCACTCGATTGGGAAACCGATCCGCATAAATCCGTGTTGCCGTGGCAGCATTTTGTAAATAAGAATCATGTCCACAAGTTCAGCATTTTCGTAAACATGTGCCATTTCTGATTTCGTTTGAGCCACGCAACAGACACCACTATTCACTCACGCGTTACCGACTGACACTGACTGTATACAACTGAATAAAATAATTGTAAAAACATCGTTCCAAATTCTTTCGCTTTTTTTTCCGATGCGATGAACCGATAAGGCGGATTATATCCGTTGTTGTCAAACACCGGATGGATCTGAAAATTAATGACTCAACTTCAAAGTCACCCTGTATATATATATATATATATATATATAAGTGATACTGGTAGTCTTTACTTTGAACGATGACTACAACTATAGTTCCGAGTTAACGTCTTGTGCATAATGTCATAAAAAACATACATGATTTCAAAGAAAAAACGTCCGTATCATTTTAAAAGTAACGCAATTTCCCTGCCGGAGTCTCCCGGATTTTTCCGCCGTCTGGCAACCCCACCTGGCTGCCTGTTTGGCAAAGCGTAGGTCAGGCGTTGTTCGCGGCTGGCGCCCGAACGGCGGGCACTGCAGCTTTTCTTTGATCGATGGTAACCGGCAGTCTATTTCTCGATGAATCTGTTATGTGCGTCAAACCTCGCAATTCTGAAGCTACATTAACAAATAATATCGGTGAGAATAAGTCAAAGGAGCCCCTTAATCAATATTCTGTGCAAAGCCTCCATTCATTTTAGTTTGTAGTGGCTTATAGTACGTGCAGTAGTGTTTGTTAACAGGATGAATGGAATTAGAATGATAAGCTCATTTATGTAATTTATCATAGTTTTCGTAAATCCATATTTTTGAACGCAATGCGACAACGTCGGCTTATACATAAGTTTATAGCATACAAGGGATGATGACCTACAAATAGAAACTTCCAGAGTCAGTAATTTTGTTAGATTGTAGGGCTAATAAATAGAAAAAATTAAAGCATAGAGAATACCCAGAGATGATATTATGTAAATGGTGACTTGTTGGAAAAATACCTCCATTTTTTAAATCATATTATCCACATCAAAAGTGATTCGATATTTTTTAATTTCTTTCTCTCCAGACATTTTTTGGATTCCGTTTTCCATTTAAAAAAATCTGTGTAGCTTGCACTGCTGCGTTCCTTTGGTCGATGGTAACAGACAGTCTATTCCTCGAAATTCTGAAGCCTCGTCGAAACACTAATTCGGTGAGAACATGTCAAAGGCTCTGCGCAAAATCTGCATTCGTTTAGTTTTCATACTAGCTTATGTACTGCCATTTGCTGTATTAGTAATTAACAGGAGGAACGGTAGTTACTACTATAGATATAATAGTTTTCGTAAATCTATATTTTTGAACGCATTGCGACAACACCGGCTTACTCAGAAGTTTATAGTTTACAGGGAGCATGACCTACATCTATAAACTTCCGTAGCAGCTAATTCCGTTTGATTGTAGAGTTTATGAACCCTTTACTCGTATTGTGTTATGATCACTGTTCGGTGTTATTAATGCTCTGTGAATGCATAAATCAAAAGTATCGGAAACATCTACACAGAATGTTTGATAACAGACAAGGTGAAAACCACAGCTCCCTTGGAAATATATCCCCATCAGATTTTTTGTGAGAAGCCTCAAAATTGTGGTTAACATAATTCCTATGTAAAAAGGTGACATTTTTTTAAATTATATTTCATCAACTCGCAACTCGTCTTTTCTCGATTCGGAGATTTTTTACTCTCTCACTTTGAATAATAAAGGAAAGGTAAAAGTATGAAATTTTCATTAAGCAGGCACGGCAGCTTTTCTTTGAACGATACTAATCGACACTGAATCTAATATAGACTAAGAATTCTATTATATACGTTAAACTTTTGCAATTCACATTAACCAATATATCAGTGAGTGTAAGTCAAAGGCCCTTTTAATGGGTTTCACAACAAAGTCTGCATTCACCTAGTTTTAGTAGCGCGTATACTGACATTTTACACTCTATTAGCAGGATGGAAATTAGAATCAGTACATCATTTATACAGCGAAAACCACATTTGTCTGACGGCTTGAGTTCAATGTGTACGAGAGAGAGAAGCACATGTTAGAACGAGATAGAAGCCGGCAAAGATTCATCACCACATTGCCTAGCAACGATGTTACGCCAGAAAATGTTCGCAAAAGCTGCTACAATAGGTTAGGTTACTGTCAAACCCAAGAAGGAGGTTTGTTCGAAAATATAATTTAATATTTTGTTTTCATTTTGATTAGAAGTATTTATTTCAATTTTGATGCGACTTAGTATTTTAATTGATTTTAGAATTATGTTTGATTTCCACCGATGGTGATAAAATCAACACATGCTAAGTTATATTACATTTTGCGACAGCCGCGGTCGGAAAACGTAACAATAATATTACGCAATATGAATTATCACTGCCTGCGTGTACGCAGGTGAATGCCATTTCGGAACAGGACGGAACTCCCTTACGAGCGCTATATGGGATATGGGTACAAGATGGGGTGTTATCAAACGAACCAATAATGCAATGTTGCAGAATTTGTGGCGATCCTGACTATTCATTTAATCCTAAGATAGATCAATATATTGATCCGGAATCAATCCTAAACAAATTCGACACAAGTCAAAAATGTGTACGCTCAAAATAAAACCATTATTCGGGCGTAAAGAACAAACACACACATATTTCAAATATGCATCTTGATTCAAGGAACTGGTGTCACACTTTGGCAACGCGACTGAATACCGCGTCAGCGTTGCTAGGCAACGCCGTGATGAGCTTTGTTATCCAGGGGGCTTCTATCTCTTTCTAACATATGTGCCTATCCACACTTCTCTCTCGAACGCATTGAACTCAAGCGTCGGGCATATTTGGTTCTTAGTGTATGTTCTGTTTAATAATTTTCATTTTTCTACATTTCTGAACGCCAAGCGGCATCATCGACTTGCACAAAAGTTTATATTACACAAGGGATCATGACCTACAAAGTGAAGCTTCCGGCGTCAGTAATTTCGTTGCATTATAGGGTTCGTTATATTAAATGTTTAACGGTATGCGGTATCAAAAGATAAAATATCGAGGGCTTAAAACTACTCAGAAGGTATATAAGGTATCATAATAACCTTTTACTTGCTTTTGAAGTGGTGTGTTTTCAAAACTTTGTTTGTTGGGATCTTTATTATTTAATAATTTTAGTAATAGATTGATTTGGATGAAATAGCGATTTTTAGAAGATCGTTGCAAAGTATTTATATTTAGAATTTTTTATTTGCGAAGTTTTAATCATGTAATAGTTTTTCATATACATACATTTCAATTTCAATTTTTGTGTTATAGCATTTTGGAAAAAAACTAATTTTCTCACGACATCCACACCTAATCACGTATTGGGACAGGAAGTAAAACAAGAGTTATTGCAGCATTATGACGCTTTTACTGATACTCAGACGGCTATTAAAACAACATTTTCATCGTTTCACTAGCAATAATAACTAGACATTACGCAACTAAATCTAATCGTTTGTCTATGCCCTACACTGCGAAGGTCAACGACCTGAGATATAAAAATAAAGTCTTTTAGGTTTCGTCAGTTTACTAAGAGTTCCCTACTAATACATAGACACGATATCATGTGTTTAATTAATTCTGCTCTATAATAAATTATAATACAAGCTGATGAGTCATCCAGTTTCAGTATAAAAATTCTTACTATAATTGATCATAAGTATGACATAACGCTCGCCAATATACACATACTGAAATCAAAATTTTTTGTATGCTTGTGTTTATTATAGAAGCATGCATAAATATTCTAAAAAAAACTATAATTGAAACACGTTTAAATTGCGTGACGACATAATATTAAAACGAATCAATGCAACTATTTTTATCAGATAACGGAGCGGAAAAGTGTTACGGAAAATAATGGTTATAGAAACACACGTTTAACAAATTACTGCTATTTTTTATGTTGCCGAAATAAAATCAGTATCGACTCAGGCTTGCCGACTACGAATGTTCAGAACAAGGCCGTACCCAGCTCAAAACGGAAGCCTGGGCGGGGGGGGGGGGGGCACCTACATAAAAAATTGTTGGTGTAAGTTCCACAAATTATATCTACATAACTATGGTTGATATTTTTCTTTCGATTTCCATTTCATTTATATAGAATCTTCCAGGACGATGTGACAATTAAAAACTACTAGGATTACTTTTTTGAAAAATTCAAGGAAGCCAAATGAGAACCCGGTTGTAAAAGAAATTGTACAGAAGGATTTATATATTCTTTAGAGTGAATGCAAAAGCCCCTCATCTCGCAAAAAATTCTGTGTAACTTTATCAAACGTCAAAGTTTTGTCTATAGAAGAATTGTGGAAAGGGAAGGTTGAGTATGTCCAGTTCTTTGCAACAGTTAATTTGTTATTACAAAAAAATCGTTCATTTTTTGCCGAAAAGTGCATAAGTGTAAATATGAAATAGTAGCCAAAAGTTAAAGCCTTTGTAGTGATTAACATCGAAAAAATCTTTAAAAATGCTCAAGCTATCCAGCGACGTAACTGCTGCAACAAATTAGATATACAGGGTGAGATTTTGGTATCTGATTGAACAATATCTCCATTATAATAAATCATAATCAAAAAACATTGTGGACTATACCCTTCCTACTTGGAATATACCGCTCCCTACAGGGTGACTCATACCGACATGACAACAAAAACGGTTTTTTTAAAAGAACAATGTAGATTTTTCAGCATATCCTATATGCCTCATCAAAGGAAGAAGTTTTGATATAGTCGGGAATAAAGCATAATATACTAATTCCGGAACTAATTTCTCTTTGTCGATATAATTATTCGTTGTTTTTCTGGAACTACTTGAAATTGAAAATAATAAAATAATTTTATAGAATATTTAGGAGGATATGTACCTAGTTTATTCTAGAACGATTTGAGGAACAAATCTGTCATATTTTCACCATTGTGATCTCCAAAACAGTAAGAGATACTGGTCGCTTGAATGGCGGCAAAGTTGCGTGTTCATATACTTTAGAAAACGCATTTGAAAAGTTTTGAAGCTTCCAGTATCTCCAGAGATACACGGAAAATGGAACGAATTTTTCCAAAATCGTTTCTACTTTTACTATGAGGTGACATAAATAGAATATTAATATCATTTTTCGTCTAACATCCCCCATCTCAACTTTTATTTTTCTTATGTTTGCCATTTTTTGCATATGCGAATAGCTTTTAATTCTGATTTCAAATATTATAGCATGTCATATATAGTTATAACAAATTTTCTAGGGTAAGCTTCGAAATTATCATGTAGTCATTTATTTCAAAGATGATAACATGTTACGCATTGATATAAAACTTCAAGTGCCTATCTTGATATAGTTAATGTAACTAACTCATTTATATTATTTAAGCGTAATCATCAAAAAACTGAAACGTCAGATCGAAATTCCAATTATGCCATCGAGTAGAAGAGAAAAAGTGACAATGTTATTGTGTAACTTGTTTCAAATTTGTAGACAATGTGGATGTTTGAAAAGTTTTGTTTCGTACTAAAGCCAGGAACAAATAAAAATATTTTCGAGTAAATTCAGAAATACCAAACTGTTCAAGTTCCATTTTTGTATTTACTTACGCAATTTGTCCCCATAAGTACCCCGCGTTGTACATTTATCATGAGATGTGATACTTATTGACCGTGTGCCTGAACGTTAGTGGTTAATGATTCATAATGTTTCTCAGAAATCCACACTTTTAGCAAAATTGATTTTACATCTAACAGAGATGTCAACTAATCCTAGTAATTTCTCATCTAATAAATATTGATTCAGCTTGCAGAGAACCATGTGCATGAATGATTTAATTTATGTAAAAAATTGTCTCTCCGTTTAATGTTTGCTGATCTAGGGAAAAGGGGAGGAGAAGCTGCCCTTGCCTCCCTGGATACGTTCTTCGTTCAGCATATAGGTTTACTCGTGAAAAAATGCTAAG